GGATGCTGAATGTCACTATTTTCATCCAACTTCATCGAAGACGTTTTGATGCAGGTGATTCCGACCAACTCCAACGTCTCATAGATGAACTTGTTACCAGATAAGTGTCACGTTGATCTAGAGTGTTCGGAGGATGTGGCCACTCTTAATCAAGTTGGTGACAAAAAGCAGCCTTCTGAACACCTGGAATAGCAATCTCCGTATGCTTGGCATGCCACTCACCCCTGTCAAACGTAAGATGACAATGCAGGACTGATCTAAACCGACTCCTAGTTTAAAGGTAGGCAGTTAACTGGTTGGTCGTGTAGTCCACTTCACTCAATTGGAGAAGTTGCATCAAGCCTGGTCGACTGACTGATGAGGAAATCTCTCGATGGAAACAAAAGGCTCGTGTGTCATTTGACAACCCACGTCATCTCTGGCGAACGAACGCCTGATATCCGGCTACCGATCAAAGCACGTGTGTACTGTGCTGAAGTTCCCTCTGTCCTACTTCACGACTGTGGGATGTGACCGTTGAAAGTGGAAGACTTGTGCAAGCCAATTATCTTCGACTATAGATGTTTGCGTTCTATCTACCGTGTTGAATAGTATAATATGGTGAGTAGTACTAAGGTTAGGCGTAGAGTGGTAGGTGAGGAGGGACCGACTCACCTTCACAACCTCGTCGATTCAGACAGCTAGGACATCCTCTAGGCATTCCAAGCTACCGACTTCCTTGTCTAACAATGCTCACTGACTGGATTCGGTGGGGAAAGAGTTAGGTGTGGTCAAATCAAAACCTGGCGTCAACACATGAAGTCATTTGACTCTTGGTTAAAGCCACGTTTGTGTGTGTGTGTGTGTGTTTATCACCTGGCTTCGGTCCATGAGAAGCTAGGATTCAATGACTGAAGACTATTTATTGGTAACATGGCTCGAAATTCTCCTCAATGGCATAGACGTTTTCACCAGTTATCAACTCCTAGATCCATCAAATTCTCATCATTCTGCATGTACTTACTCTTCCTCCTGTACATTTGCCTTCACTAAACCTCCTTTCAATTCTTTTCTCTCTTCCTTTGTGTACCTACTATAAGGAGTGTGACAACTTGAACTGTTTCACCCTTGTGCAAACCTCCACGTTGAAAACTCAGTCAGTCAGTGAGGGTTCATCTAGCTTATAATGCTTCCCCTGGAGCCTGATTTTTAATAAGCCTAATATAGTTGACAGGAATTACTTAGTGCTCATCTGTTCCACTCTCATCACACACCCCACTCTGTGATCATCACGAAAACATCTGGTTAGTCTGCTCTCGAACAGCCTTCGATACTCGTCACGTTGTCAATCCAATGGAATCAATCTTCTTGCACAGACCAGTTCGGATGGATCTACAGAAACCCACTGACTCTTACTAACCTATGGCTGCTTTTTAAAACTGTTCTAATTGCTGTTTCCTTAGCAGGACGCATATAGCCCAATCATTCTTCGGGATGAGCATCGCTATCATGCTTAGACAATTGGCCAAGTGGACTCTTCCGTCAACACAGACTTGGTGTTTTCATAGAGAAGCCAGAATGCTAAGGCCCAGTGCCACATCAAGGAGTTAAGAATGAGATTTCAGGAAAACCATTTACAATGTTACACCTCATCACCATTACCATGCACTCTTAAACCCTCACCACAAAACCAGAAGCTCAAACTAACAGTTTCTCTTTCCACTATCTAACCGAACTCTCTTGCATGCCAAGATCTTCAGGAATCATACGTTGCTCATTGGCTCCGTATGACAAACAAACACAACCAACAGCTGTCGATTAGACGCTGATGAACAAGCCAGAAGGAAACCTAGGTCGAGCCTGACCAGTCTTGGGTTGAATTTCCAACATCTAACACTAAACAAAGTATATTAAAGTATCATGTCAAAACGTGTTGACCACAATGGGAACCTAACGATAGATTTTTATCAGTGCATAGGAATAAGCAGTTAAATGTGCTTCCATCCGACGACAAGCGCGCATATACTAAGTTGGCAAGTAAGTTCTATGAGACGACAAGTTCTGGAACATAGCCATACTTCTCAGCGCCGAACACTTACTCCGTTGATCGAGAGGTGTATTGGCAATGTAGTGCTGAGGAATCAGTGCCATGAATCTAAATCGTACTAGACAAGGCATTCGACTCGAACTAGTTCTGTCGTGTAAGAGGTAGTTCAAAGTTGTCTTCTAAACTGGAGATAACCAGCAGTTTTCTTCAGGGATGCTGAATGTCACTATTTTCATCCAACTTCATCGTAGACGTTTTGATGCAGGTGATTCCGACCAACTCCAACGTCTCATAGATGAACTTGTTACCAGATAAGTGTCACGTTGATCTAGAGTGTTCGGAGGATGTGGCCACTCTTAATCAAGTTGGTGACAAAAAGCAGCCTTCTGAACACCTGGAATAGCAATCTCCGTATGCTTGGCATGCCACTCACCCCTGTCAAACGTAAGATGACAATGCAGGACTGATCTAAACCGACTCCTAGTTTAAAGGTAGGCAGTTAACTGGTTGGTCGTGTAGTCCACTTCACTCAATTGGAGAAGTTGCATCAAGCCTGGTCGACTGACTGATGAGGAAATCTCTCGATGGAAACAAAAGGCTCGTGTGTCATTTGACAACCCACGTCATCTCTGGCGAACGAACGCCTGATATCCGGCTACCGATCAAAGCACGTGTGTACTGTGCTGAAGTTCCCTCTGTCCTACTTCACGACTGTGGGATGTGACCGTTGAAAGTGGAAGACTTGTGCAAGCCAATTATCTTCGACCATAGATGTTTGCGTTCTATCTACCGTGTTGAATAGTATAATATGGTGAGTAGTACTAAGGTTAGGCGTAGAGTGGTAGGTGAGGAGGGACCGACTCACCTTCACAACCTCGTCGATTCAGACAGCTAGGACATCCTCTAGGCATTCCAAGCTACCGACTTCCTTGTCTAACAATGCTCACTGACTGGATTCGGTGGGGAAAGAGTTAGGTGTGGTCAAATCAAAACCTGGCGTCAACACATGAAGTCATTTGACTCTTGGTTAAAGCCACGTTTGTGTGTGTGTGTGTGTGTGTGTGTTTATCACCTGGCTTCGGTCCATGAGAAGCTAGGATTCAATGACTGAAGACTATTTATTGGTAACATGGCTCGAAATTCTCCTCAATGGCATAGACGTTTTCACCAGTTATCAACTCCTAGATCCATCAAATTCTCATCATTCTGCATGTACTTACTCTTCCTCCTGTACATTTGCCTTCACTAAACCTCCTTTCAATTCTTTTCTCTCTTCCTTTGTGTACCTACTATAAGGAGTGTGACAACTTGAACTGTTTCACCCTTGTGCAAACCTCCACGTTGAAAACTCAGTCAGTCAGTGAGGGTTCATCTAGCTTATAATGCTTCCCCTGGAGCCTGATTTTTAATAAGCCTAATATAGTTGACAGGAATTACTTAGTGCTCATCTGTTCCACTCTCATCACACACCCCACTCTGTGATCATCACGAAAACATCTGGTTAGTCTGCTCTCGAACAGCCTTCGATACTCATCACGTTGTCAATCCAATGGAATCAATCTTCTTGCACAGACCAGTTCGGATGGATCTGCAGATACTCACCTTTTATTTCTCATCTATGTCTTTTTTCATAAACCTTCTGAATGTCTTTTTTGGGGGGGAAATTCTTGTGGTTCACTTTATTTTCGATATTTCCTCGCAATATTATCTGTTTATATGTTTTTTTTTATTTTCACTATTTTTAGTTTTTTTGTTTTTAACTTGCACTTTATCTTGGAATGGTCTCTTAATGTTTTTTTGTTTGCTTATATTTTTTTTGGATGTTTTCTTTACTATGTTCTTTTCCTTCTTATTGCTGTATGTTTTTTTTCGCATTTTTTCCCACTTATTAATTTCTTTTTTTACAGATTTTAATTGACGTGTTTGTTGCATTTCTGGACATTATTTTGCGCATGATATCGATTTTCAAGAACTATTTTTATGTTTTTATTATTATCCAAGCCGCTATTTGCTCCCATTATGTGGAAATCTCATCTAATTATTTTGATAAATTTTACGTAGAACATCTCCAGTGAAACCGTTTTCACCTCTGCTTTACCGGCACATATTATCTTAATCCTAGACATTGTAGTCTTAAGCACAAATGTTCATGAAATATGTGTGCCAATTCTGTGCTGATTCAATATTTTTAAGTGAATATGCAAATAAATCTAATTCATAAATACTACTTTTATGCTTTATTTTTGTAAAAGAATGGATTTGTTCATTGTAAGCCGTACAAAAGAGGGCTATTCATCAATTTTAACAAAGAAAATTACCAAAAGAAATGAGAAACAGATTTGTTTTGTTACACAAAGCTGTGTAAAATAACGTTACTTGATTTAATAAAGTATGCATAGTGACTACATACAGTTATTCAAATAAGTGAATATTTTCTACACTGTATATTATCTTGTCCACTTGCACAATGTTTATACTGCCAAAAGTCATGATGATTATCAAAGCGAAATAGCTCTACTCTCACAACAAGAAGAATATTAAAAATAATAAATAAAGTAGAACATACAACTAACTAATAACTAAGTGTTCACTTTAAGAGAAGTACAGGAGGATTAAAATAAATCACAGGTGAACTCAAAACTTGTATAAACGCCATTTATTTATTAATTATTTGGTTCAATCAACTAAATAATAAACTTTCTACACAAAAAAAGAAAAATGAATGGATGTGATGAGTTTCTCCATAAATAAAACCTCCCTAAAAATTGTTTCCTTGTAACTTCCTTCTTAGCATTATTTCTTCTATTGATAACAAAAGTTTGAAGAATTTGAGTAAAAGGAAGTATGAAATAATGAAAGAGACACAGACGCAAAAACTAGCTGTTATATTCCCCTTTTCTACACGAATCTAAATGTTATTTATATATTCATCGATATATTGAAAAACTAAGATGAGGAAAGAAACTTAATGAATTTATGCACACACTAGTAACTTTATTAAACCAAAAACTAAGGCAGATAACAGATACAAATAATAAAAGGGTTGTGATTTGACTGAGGTTACTGAATTGCATAAATCACCTACGCAATGACAATAGCGAATGCGTACATCATTCGTACCGACACGATCAATACAGCCCAAATTATCCACAATGTTACTGCATTGACGTACTACTCGTCTTTCATTTTCAACTAGAGAGAAAAATTGAAGTAGGTTTTCACATGATAAACATGACAACAAAAATAAACAACACACAATCATGACAGAATAGACAAAAAACCAGTAACTGTCTTATTTTTCATGCTTTTGGTCAAGTAGGAGGTTAATCTATTTTGGATAGCGTTATTAGAAGATGGAGATTATCTGAAAAATGTGATGTATTCGCGCTATACATTTCGAACAATCTGATCACACATTTACTTGTCAAGTCACTATATATGAAAAAGTTAGAATAAACAAAGTGACAAAAAGAGGATTTAAGAATAATTAACACAACGTTTGGTAATTCAGTCAAATAAGGATTACCAAGGAAGGTTAAAAGTAAGCAAAGCCAGTACACAAAAGCCTATTTTTGAAGCTAGGTTCCTATTGTGTAATAGCTGTCGCTTACAGACTAGCATGTCAATGCTCCCAAGCTCCAGATTACTGAGTTGAATTAAACTTCTTTGTAACATGGAAAGGGAATATTTACGTCTTTAATCGCTGTCTCAAATAGTCTTAGTCAGCAGACAGGATTCGGAACACCTCCAGCTGGGCCACAAATAACAGAATCTTAACTCCCATTTTCAATTTGTTGCCAAGTTAGAAACCATATACACTGCATCACCGAAACCAGATAAGAAGCAAAAGCGCACACAAATGTACTGCGGATTTTGCGACCAAATCGAAACAACATTGATATAAGTATAAACCTTGGGCACTGTGATGCAGTATAACTTCATTATAGATAAGATTTTATTTTGATAAATCACACAGTGTTGTACAGTAACATTAACTGATGACGTTTCGAGCACAAACTATTGCTCATAACCATATCAAGTTACTCACACAACTTTTTCCTTCATTTATATACATCAGTAGAATTGATTAGATATTTAAATAAAAATCAATACAGGATAATGTACATTCAAAAATAATTATATAAGTGTTATTGATCAAATACAATCAGATGGGAAATAAGACGAGTGTTTATATAGTCAAAATAAGTTACTTGTCAGAATGTTATGATGTACGTGAATTGAAATAGAATTTTAAGATTATTTATTATCCTCCTCTGATTTGACTGACTGCTGGTAATAATATCTTCCATATCTCTGGTATATGCGTTGAGTCATATCTGTGGCATGTGTTGGGTGTAGACTTAATGAATTAGGATTCAGTAATCAATCTGTCTCTACCTACCTATATTACTTCTTAGAATTTTAACCCTCTCCCACCCTATTGTGCGATTGTGTGTTAATGCATGCAGTGCAATCGCTGAACTTTACTTATCTTCCCGGGGTCAACCATTCTCAACTTAGCTTAATTCATATATTCTGATAATCTCACTACTCTTGATCTACTAGTTTTACTTATATAGTTGACCTCACAGTCATTGTAAGGTATTTTGTTATTATATTGTTTTGTCTAATTGGGTCCACCGGTTCTTTTAGCCTACAGAGCTAGTCTCTGTGTGAGTTTGAAGGCCACCCTAATTACTGCTTTGTTGAGAATCCTACGCAGGGCCTCAGATATATATATATATATATATATATATATATGTATATATATATATATGTATATATATATATATGTATATATATATATATGTATATATATATGTATATATATATATGTATATATATATATATATATATATATATATATATATATATATATATATATACTGATGTATATAAATGAAGGAAAAAGTTGTGTGAGTAACTTGATATGGTTATGAGCAATAGTTTGTGCTCGAAACGTCATCAGTTAATGTTACTGTACAACACTGTGTGATTTATCAAAATAAAATCTTATCTATAATGAAGTTATACTGCATCACAGTGCCCAAGGTTTATACTTACATCAATAGTATGAAACACTTTTACAGCACTCCCTTCTCAGTCAAATGTTATAGCACCACTCAATTCATGAGGTCAAAAGCACACCCATGTTAGGAGATGTGCTATTTGTTGAATCCTGATGGGTATGTCTATATGCTAGAACCTGTCAAAAAGTGAAGACATGATCAATACTCCCTTGTATGCACTTGAAGCTTCACTGGTTTCCTCAGGTTTGCTTTGTCCAAGCCCCATTCATCCTTCTGAGGACTTTGCAACTTAGAATCTTAAATGTTGCGTCGGTCAAGCTGATACCTCTAGACTATCGCAGGAAGATTTCCTACACCTCTTGTGACCTCATAGGATCAATGAGCTATACTAGTCAGAGGGACTACATCACAGAAACACAACATATCTTGAAAATAAGAAATCACCACCATCCTAAAACACCTCTGAAGTCATATCAACAGTCCCTGTCGGTATGCCCGTGTTCCAAATTAAAAACAGCTTTCGCAACCGTTATTATTATTAAAACTAATGAAGTCGATTACTGTTGGAGGGTAGATATCAACACCACAGTCAGATTGGGGGCAGTTATAGTGTAGCTTTAAGCCAGAGAAACGACTAGATAAAATTTTCTCCTGAGAAATTACTAGAATCCCATCCTTCTCGGAGATCGTTTCATTTAGATGATCCTTTTACTGCCCTTTCCCTAGTGAACCTATTTTCCTTTTTTAACATTTTTAACTTCACTAGCTTTCGTAGCCAACGACTACTACTTATTGTGAAGACTTTTCGTCAGCCTTGTTTTGAGCAGTTTGGATCACACCATAGAAATATTTGTGCGTATCGTTTCATCGGCACTTTGACTACAAGATCAGTCTACAGAACACCCATGTAGGAATACTAGGTGAGAATGTTTCATAGCCGGATAAAACTAAATTGCGACATAAATTTATCTCACACTGTATGCATTCGATTAATCTGAAGTTTAGTTGTGTTAAAAGAGAGTGATTACCTCAGAACGTCATAAACCGGAATATATTTTTACTACTATTTTATTACCGACATCTTTTAAATGTCTGCTTTCCCACCTCACTAAGTATCACAGTCGTGGAGACTTTTAGTTAGCTTTCGCTTGTCTTCATGTCCGAAGACCGCTGCTGTCAGACTAATAGAATCAGTTCGAATGAAGCTAGAGAATCCTACTGGCACTAAACAATCTTTCGCTGCTCGTTACTTACAATCTTTACCACTTTTTCTACATCAGAGTGAATGTAAAACAGAGGTTCCTCAGGATAAGTATTGTCATCAAACTCAAATATGATTTCAGTTGTCGTCTATCTAGACATAAACTTCATATTCTCACTAGCAGCATACTAGACAGCTTTCGATGAAGGTTATCCTTCGTAATATAGAATAACCACTAATTATGTGTACTATAGAAACACGTTTGTGCTTGTGGTCAATTGATGCTCATATCGTTTTAGTGAATAAATCTACTGTTATGAGGACAGCATTTGCACACTATAGTAGAGTATAGTTCCGTTATGGATAAAATGTATTTTGATAAATTCTCGCAGTCTTATGTAGTAATATTTGCTGGTGATGTTTCGAACACAGTTTGTTGCTCATAATCATATCAACGTACTCACAAAACTTTCTGACTTCGTTTATATACATCATAACGGAACAAATCTACTATTTTTGTCATAATAATGACGATAACAATAATAACAATGCTTTCAAAATGTCTTCCTACTGAATGACTACTTATCTAAAAACTTCTATGAACACTAATCATAAGTTTATAGCATTCCAATTATTTTATAAGTCAAACAAACATAGGTGGAAGTGGTACCACAATTTGTGCATCTGCTGATCCAAAGACCGACCTCGTAACCTGAGGAAAATTGATATATAGGCAATTTTCTCTTTGGATCTATACCAAATGGAAATAATTATTTTTTCTGAAGGATTAGATTTAAATAGGTCATTTTGGTAAGCATAAAAATTTCCTTCCCACCAATGTTTAACTTACCAACTTGGTCGATCTTCCGACAACCAATAGGTTTGGATGCATCAATTCCAGGATACTTGGAACAATTTGTTATGAAAGTAAACTGATCCCATGGTTCACATAATTGGCCATCAAGGTAAGAATTGCAAACGACGCACTGGACACCAAGAGCTATAAAGAAATGAATGGGTGTCGCAGGCATTTTTCACTATTTTAAGACATTTTATGACTAGGAAACACAAAAATTAATAGCATACAGTTGTAAAACAAATAAGGATATTGTTTTAAAAACTCCGTGAAAAAAGACTTTTAAACCTACATGAAGGGAACTTAATTCGTTAAGTATAACTTAGAAATAAACCTAGACAATTTAAGGACCTAGGAAGAACTCTTTCGACATATGTTTGTCATACTCGCATTAACCCAAAAGCCAACTCAGGACTTTGCATAGAAATGCATTAGCATAGGTAGTCATGCTTAGAATTGGCAAAAACAAAAGAAAAGACAGATGCAAAGTGATGCTACAGTGAATAAATATGACGGCAAGAGGAGAGATACTAATAATAAGAGGATTGGCGCATGAAGTTGTGTTTTGGTAATGGTAAAAAGTTAAGACATCTGAGCCTTTGAGTGCAAACTTGAAATATGTCACTCTCCTACATTTAACAAGTTACATCTCGAAAAATACAGTCAAGCAGCTTATGGCTCACTAAATGCCTCAGACTGATAGCCAGATAATTATTTCTTTAGTGATGTTTTCGCCTTGTTAGAATTACTTTGTTTTTATCCCGAACCTGCTAAGGGTAATTTCACTGCATGTGTTGCATTTGTCCCATCCGCTTCACTCGACGAACATTCGCAGCATCTTTAATTGACCCACATTTCTTATCTAAAATTATATCTAACCTAAATATTACCTGCACTGATAGCAGTCAGATGATATGCGTTCTTACTATATCTTATACTTTTTGAATCCTCATTTTCTTATCATGTAGTATTATATATTGGAGAGCTGACCTCTGCACTTGACATCAGACATCTCAGCAGATGAACCTTTTGCATTCACTCTGGACTTCACTGCCAACCAGTTCATTATGTTTCATTCAAAACACTGAATATGTGAAGTCTTAAACAGACATTTCAAATTTGCTCCAGTTTCCTCCCACAGTATTCACAAGACTGTCTTTTCTTCTCGTCTTTACGTAAAAGAAATACATCGTTTACGTGCTTTAAGTCAACTAGTGCTTTTCCTAGTAGAAAATTAATTCCTGAGAATCCCATGTTACAGTAGTCCCCACCAGCTCACCTATGGTAAAATCAGATACATTCATATCACACAGCAGGGGCAAATGCTGGCGATTGTCACCACTTCAGGAAGCAACTCTTTCACAACTGCACCATCAGAATAACGTGCTTCCTCGGTACTACCTTCACAGTAACACTCTTAAGGAACCTCAGTATCAACAGATTCAAATAGTGCCTTCTGATTGACAATTATCGCACGTTCCATAACCTATCATAAGTATAATCGACAAAGACAATGATGAATACATTAAAATATTAGTCTGAAGATGCCATACGTCCGGCATGTGACTCGAACGTAAGATGACAATGCAGGACTGATCTAAACCGACTCCTAGTTTAAAGGTAGGCAGTTAACTGGTTGGTCGTGTAGTCCACTTCACTCAATTGGAGAAGTTGCATCAAGCCTGGTCGACTGACTGATGAGGAAATCTCTCGATGGAAACAAAAGGCTCGTGTGTCATTTGACAACCCACGTCATCTCTGGCGAACGAACGCCTGATATCCAGCTACCGATCAAAGCACGTGTGTACTGTGCTGAAGTTCCCTCTGTCCTACTTCACGACTGTGGGATGTGACCGTTGAAAGTGGAAGACTTGTGCAAGCCAATTATCTTCGACCATAGATGTTTGCGTTCTATCTACCGTGTTGAATAGTATAATATGGTGAGTAGTACTAAGGTTAGGCGTAGAGTGGTAGGTGAGGAGGGACCGACTCACCTTCACAACCTCGTCGATTCAGACAGCTAGGACATCCTCTAGGCATTCCAAGCTACCGACTTCCTTGTCTAACATTGCTGACTGACTGGATTCGGTGGGGAAAAAAACAACGCAGACCTCGAAAAGAAAGAATTCTACAGACAACTACAGGGAACAATGGACAATACTCCAGCTGGCGACATGAAAATACTTATGGGGGAAAGAGTTAGGTGTGGTCAAATCAAAACCTGGCGTCAACACATGAAGTCATTTGACTCTTGGTTAAAGCCACGTTTGTGTGTGTGTGTGTGTGTGTGTTTATCACCTGGCTTCGGTCCATGAGAAGCTAGGATTCAATGACTGAAGACTATTTATTGGTAACATGGCTCGAAATTCTCCTCAATGGCATAGACGTTTTCACCAGTTATCAACTCCTAGATCCATCAAATTCTCATCATTCTGCACGTACTTACTCTTCCTCTTGTACATTTGCTTTCACTAAACCTCCTTTCAATTCTTCTCTCTCTTCCTTTGTGTACTTAGTATATGGAGTGTGGCAACTGGAACTCTATGTTGTAGCGTTTGAATCGGAGTTGGTATATACTGAGATTAAGATAGATTTAGATGTAGCACACAAAAATGTAGTACGGACTTCGAGGGAAAGAAATATCTGTATCCTCAACCGGCTATTTCAAAAAGAGATTAAACAAGCGTAAATGCTTATCATGAACGGATTATCACTTGCCTGATTCGTTTCAACTCCAACAAAATATCTGAATCTGAACTAATAGCCTAGCATACATCAGTTTTTTATGACAAACATTTCGCAGAAATTACTCTACCTATGCAAAGTGTTGGATAACGGACTGTTGTATCTCTTAAGATACATGAAAGTTAGTAATAAGGTGGATGTAGCTGTCCTCAAGGAGATGTAGTTACAAGAAACTAATTATGAATATAAGGCCAGTTTATTACATTATTGATTTACGATGCTGAAATTTCTACAAGCCCAATGCCTAAATTAAGACTTCAGTCCGGTGGTCAAAATCGGACTGTGCAAACTAAAACTCTCACGTGATAGTCTCGTCATCCGTGATGTACAACGGAAAACTCAGCGAGGCGTTCAGTTGAATACAGGAGTAAGACAAGGCTACGTATTATCACCGATAATATTCCTAATTGGTGTCAACTGAATTATGCGTCAGACTGTGAGTGGGGAGTGAAAAGACAGGAATACGCTGCACTGACCTACAAGAAAACCTTAGATCTGGATTTCGCATATGATATTTGTCTAATGTCGCACGAACTAGAAGACTTGCAAGCGAAGACCACCAATCTAGTAGAAGAAGCAGAGAACACAGAACTGCAGGTAAACACAACGAACACGGAGGTGATGGAAGTAACCAACGAACCACAACAACAACAACCAACACCAATACTACCAGCAGAAGAGATTTGACAGAGGTTAATTCCTTCAATTGCCTAGGAAGCATTGCTTCAACCACAGGCGGAACGGATGAAGATATCAAAACCAGCCAGAATCAAAAAGGCAAGATAAGCTTTCATCAACCTGAGACCAATTTGGAAATCTTCTGCACTCACCCTGCATAAACAACAAGATTCGCATTTTCAACACAAATGTGAAGTCAGTCAGTCCTTCTATAAGGGTCAAGAACTTGCACTGCGTGTTACGAAAAGAATTTCCGACAAGTTACACACTTACGTCAACAGCTGCCTTGCCGGCTTCATACTGAAGATCAAATGGCCGGTTGTCCAGAAAGAATTAGTAACAAGAAACTCTGGTTGAGAACAAACCAACCAAAAGCCGATCGCTCAACAAATATGTAAGAGAAAATGGAGGTGGATCGGGCGTACATTGAGGAAAACCTCGAATGACATCGCTTGCAATGCAGGCTATAGCTCGAATGGAATCCAAATGGGAAGCGACGAGTGGGTTGTCGGTGCGAGGGTGACATGGAGGAGATCGTGTGAGGAGGAGATGAGAGATTATAGGCAATCGTGGATCCAGCTGAAGAGGACGGCAGAAAATAGAACAAAGTGGAGATTAGTTGTTGAAGCCCTATATTCCACTGGAAACCCAATGGAATGCTGATGATGATAATAATAATAATAACAACTTGAAAGGGTGTTAACACATTAAACAGTACAAAAAATCTTTCTAGGAAAAAACATCAAAGAGAATTTTCTTTTTCACGGCTTTCATATGAAAGTTGGAGAAACAGTAAAGAAATACTAACCTGAATTTTGCTGCAAAATGCAAGAAAATACTAATATTCCCATATAAATTTCCTGAATGAAAGCCATAATCAACGTCACAGCATCAACTGTTTTATCAAAAGTCAAACTCCCATTATTTGGGAGACAACAGGAATGTTTGAAAAAATCGATTCTGTAGGCTCATTCGTTTTCAAAATGAATTACCTGTATTAGTGGATTGGTTAATAGGATAGTTCATCGATCGTCATATTGTTTGACCAATCAAAGATGCGTCAATAGCGAAATTTGCGAATGACCTTGGGCGTTGACCTGAATATCCAATACTAGTTTCTTTGATTGCCTTATACTGTTATTAGTGGGCTGACATGCATACAAAAATTTGTAGCTAGAAATTATGCATTTATCTCCAAATAAAATTGTTGATTATCAACCTTAAAAGAAATATAAATTAGGGGAAATACAGAAGACATTGCATACTTATTTAAAATAACCACACGATGTTTGGGGAATCAAATGATTTTTCTTAACGTTTCTTATTAAAAGACAAAACTTCCTTTGCAGGGAGGACAGCTGTGTGTTTAGTGACTGAATTTAATTTAGGTTAGGACTTCTTATAACGATGTGCTTAAATGAAAAGGAATCTAATGTGTACACAAACTTCACAGGTACTGCTATATTGTGGTCGACAGTAGACAGAAAAGTCAGAACTCTTCACATTTTCAGAAACACTTGGTAAACTGTCATAACACTTATACTTTTTTATATGGGCTACCTTGATGGACAAATTTTCAGAATATTTTAGGTACCATATGGTGACAGTTATTTTATTTTATGCTAAGTGGTTTGCTCATTGTTAGTAATAATAATAATAATAATAGCTTTATTCCAAAAACACTACTAATGATACAGCAAAGAATTTTCAGCATTCAGTATAATATTGCATCTAATTTACTCAAAAACGACAACAAAAAAATTATGAATACACATTACATAATAATAATAAAACGATTGTTACAGCAGCTACATAGCAAAATACTGTATGCAATACGGTGAAAAATATAAAGTATAAAATTGTAGTAATAATGGTAATACCAACTAAAATAAAATAGCAGAGTAACAATTAAACGATAGAAATTGTGACACCATAAAATACAGAAAGATGAACTATGAAAGGGTCGATTTACTGTGCTAATTACATAGTAACTTATGTGTTTCACGTCTAACAGAGTCTCCGTCACATAAAGTACGGGCTAAATAGGGTATTGTAGAATTTCTATACTTAGTGGTACGAGCACATAACTTTTTATATTGACTTCCCGTCCTACCTGATGAGATACAAGGGGACAGGTGTGAATAAAGGGGGTGCAGAAGGTCTGACATTATAGCCTTTGCCCATTTCGTACAGGAATTTATATGCCTCTCGACTATAGTATTGGCGAGCTCATTCAGTGGCAGACCACATGCCCTACTCACAGCATTTAATACTCTTCGTAATATGATATAATCTTTTTTGAGCAGCCCAGGAAAGATTAATGGAGAGCAGTAGAGTACAATAGGTAAAATACAGGAGTTTAAAATTTGCAAAGCTAAAGGTTGGTTGATACCTGATTGTCTTAACTTTTTAATGTAAAAGGTAAGACGAAACATTTTCTTAGAGATAGATAAGATGTGTGATGACCATGAAAGGTCAGAGGAAAGAACTAATCCAAGGTATTTAATGCTTGACTTGGTCTTAGAGGCTGACGGTATCGACGTTCACGGATAGTACGAAGTATTCTAACGCAAGATCTAATACCCACAACTTCTATAGTATTCGTTCCGCGAAGACCAAAAACAAAGCGAAACAATAATTGATCGTCCGAATTACTAAGTATATTTCGGGACCAAATCGGAGTGCGAGATGATTGCTTAGCCAACTAGGGATCGTACACGAATGTGACATGACGGAGTACCAAATGGTGTGGATGCTTGACCGGAAGCCTTCAGCTAAACAAGTTGACTTAAACAGTGAGTGCCAGCATCCTATGTTCAGTGATGAGTGCTGTGGTCAGTAACTTTAAGGAATTATTTACCGCTACAGTATCAAGACTATATGCATGCTTTCCTAATAGTCTTATATATATATATATATATATATATATATAAACACTGCGTCAACTGAAAATCAATAACAAAAATAGGTGACTTTTATTCATCTCTACCTTGAAATTTGTTGGCATGTGCATTAGTTGTACTCTTTTGGATACTAATAATAACAGTCATAATAATAAAAATAATAATGATTTGCTTTATTCCAAAATGGTACTTATAATACAGCGTGGAATTCTCAGCATTTGTTACAAAAGTGCATCTAATTTACGCATTAGCAACAGAGACAAATATATATTACAGGATATAGGTAATCAAAATTTGTAATAGCGAACTTTTTGGCAGTAGCTGTAGCAGTTAAGTAAAAATGTGGACAGTGTTAAATAATAATAATGTTAATAACTCAAACTATGATGTTATTGAAATAGTGTCACCAAAAATAACAAATCGGGGGAGAAAAAAGAACCATTTATTTTGCTATTAACACTAAGTTGTAGGTTTCACGCTTAACACTATCTCTGTCACATAGAACGCTGGCCAAATGGGATATCTTTGAGCTTTAGTACTTGGTTGTGCTAGAATGTAATTTGTAGGGATGACTTCTAGCGCCACCTGATGAGATGCAAGGAGAGAGCTGGGAATAGATGGTGTGTTGAGAATCAGACAATATGGATTTCACCTGTCTCTGACATGAGTTCAGGTGCCTGTAGACAGCAATAATGAGATGACTTACTGGCTATTAACTTGCCCTACTGGCAACCTTTAATACCTTTCACAATATGACGTAGTTTTTTTTTGAGTAGCTCAGGAAAGACTAAAGGGGAGTAATATTGAACAATATGTAAGATGCAAGAGTTAACCAATTCCAAAAGTAAAGTTCGAGTGATTCATGATTGCGTAGCATCTTAATGTAGAAGTTTAGATGAAACACTTGCTTAGAAGTCAACAAGATGAGAGATGACCATAAAAGGTCAAAAGGTAGAACTATTCCAATATATTTTATGCTTGACTTAGTTTCCGTTTCACTATCCTGTTTGCTACAAGCATACTGGGAACAAACAAGTTCGTTTAGATCATGTTTATAAGTGAAGGTTAAGTTAATTGTCTGACATTTGCAGGGATTTAATGTAAGACCATTAAGCTTGGACCACTGGCTTATGTCCAACAAAAATCAATTGGTATTCAAGTGTTGGTTTGTAGGGATTTCATTGGTTTCAGGATTTCATCATGAGCTGACATTAGTTAGAGAACCATTTGGAAAACCTGGGAGTACTGGACAACTGTTTCGTCCTAGTTTGGGACTCTTCAGCAGTACGCACCCACCAGGATTCGAACCCAGGACCTTCCGGTTACCAGGCGAGCTCGTATACCATTAAGCCACTGGGACCCAATCCAATGGTCCTTGAATTCCAACTTCCGCCAATTCACGACATAGCGCGACCGCTAGTCAATGTCTTCGGCGAGTATTTGTCCTCACACCCGACCAGCTGCACCCTACTGGTCACTACTTCCCACTGAAACCCAGGTAACTACCCACCTGAATAGGGCCAGTCGCCAGTGAGCATCTCATTGGTATTCAAGTGTTGGTTTGTAGGGATTTCATTGGTTTCAGGATTTCATCATGAGCTGACATTAGTTAGAGAACCATTTGGAAAACCTGGGAGTACTGGACAACTGTTTCGTCCTAGTTTGGCAGAAGTTGGAATTCAAGGACCATTGGATCGGGTCCCAGTGGCTTAATGGTATACGAGCTCGCCTTGTAACTGGAAGGTCCTGGGTTCGAATCCTGGTGGGTGCGTACTGCTGAAGAGTCCCAAACTAGGACGAAACAGTTGTCCAGTACTCCCAGGTTTTCCAAATGGTTCTCTAACTAATGTCAGCTCATGATGAAATCCTGAAACCAATGAAATCCCTACAAACCAACACTTGAATACCAATGAGATGCTCACTGGCGACTGGCCCTATTCAGGTGGGTAGTTACCTGGGTTTCAGTGGGAAGTAGTGACCAGTAGGGTGCAGCTGGTCGGGTGTGAGGACAAATACTCGCCGAAGACATTGACTAGCGGTCGCGCTATGTCGTGAATTGGCGGAAGTTGGAATTCAAGGACCATTGGATTGGGTCCCAGTGGCTTAATGGTATACGAGCTCGCCTGGTAACCGGAAGGTCCTGGGTTCGAATCCTGGTGGGTGCGTACTGCTGAAGAGTCCCAAACTAGGACGAAACAGTTGTTCAGTACTCCCATCTGGTTTTCCAATGGTTCTCTAACTAATGTCAGCTCATGATGAAATCCTGAAAAAAGCAATTGGTTCGGAAACATTCAGATCGGGACATAACTGTCAAGAAAAACAGTCAGATCAGCATATTTATCGAAGCTGATTTCTAGGTTATCATGCTTGTTCCTTATCTAAATGAAACTTTCATAAAGTACCTTTACAGCAGTGTTCTTGATAAAACTTGCTAGCTACATCTGGCATACAATTAGGCAGGTTCATCATTGTATTTCCGAAATTCATCCAACATGGTTCAGCAACGAACAAACAAGATCTATCCGTAGCTCTGTCTTAGCATACATTGAAGATATTAAGCATAAAGTTGATTTTAATACAACATTTGAAATTACTTATCGCATTCATACTGATCTTAATTTGGCTTAGGAGTTCCTCTTCTACATACATACAGCTGAAGTCATAGGAATCCGCCTGAAGAAGACAGACCTGTGTGTTCAGAAGAAATCTGTACAGCCACTTCCGTTATCCTGGCCATTGTTACATGAATGCATAAACCGAACCACTTCGCCCCTAAATCTTTAAAAATTATAATTGTCCCAATTATTTTATTCTTATGACTACTTCATCTTTAGTTACAAGTTACTATTGTCCAAATCGTTTTATTTTCCTTTGACAATCTGCTACGTAATCAGCCTGAGCAGACCCATATTCTTAAATTACTCTCCACTTTTTTCAAAATTATGCGATCCACGTGTTGTAACCATTTCTAC